TAACAGTATTAATTTTCTAACTGAAAGTAATTAGCTAGGTTGAAGTTGGTTTATAACATAAATAATTTGCTCACCAGATTCCAGGCTGTACGTTATATTGTTTTGATATGTCGTATCTCCGTCAACAGCTTGAATGACAGCCAAACCTTCGCCCTGTTATTTGTAAAGAGAGACAATGGATTGACTATTAAAATAAATATAGCTCTTCTTGTAAAAGTTAAGTATGACACACTGACTGTTTATTTATGTTCACATTATTAAAAACAATAATATATGCTAAGGCAGGAAAGCACATTGGATATATTAACAGTTCCTTTTGAAAAATATACAGTTATTACATTGAAACTTTTAATATATCAAATAATGTTGTTTCTCCTATGAACAATATGATAAACACTTCTTGAAGAAATCATGAAATGACGTGTTGATCAACTTGATAAGTTTCCTTCTCTCCTACATGAGACGTTTTTATAGCTTAATTTCTAGCCTGTATATACTGAAATATTTTTGTCTCCGCTTAATTTGAGTCTATACTTGTGTTGTTTGATTGTCACATCTACTTCTCTGTACTTGTGTTGTTTGATTGTCACATCTACTCCTCTGTACTTTTGTAGTTTGATTGTCACATCTACTCCTCTGTACTTTTGTAGTTTGATGTCACATCTACTCCTCTGTACTTGTGTACTTTGATTGTCACATCTACTAGCACAGTGGTTCCCCACCTGGGGTCCGCGAAGGTAATACCATCTCATTAAACAAGTAAGTTTTTTAATACTGCTGTTTTTTTAATTGCACACTCAGTTATATGTCTTTCATTTGACAGTGAAAAATGGGGAAAGTAGTTAATTATTAGTTAATAAAAACAGTTTGTTGGGTAGAGGAATCTTTCAAAAACATGGGGTTCGTGGGGGGAAAATAATAATAAAAGGGGTCCTTGGTGGTGAAAAAGATGGGCACCACTGTACTAACACAAAAAAGTTTAAACATCTACGTTTGGTACTAAGTCTTTTAATATCTGGAGTAGATGCGATCTATAAAACATTTAAATTATACTTAATTGTGTTAATTGGCTATAGGTTTTAAATATCCAGAAATCATTGGCTTAGTGTAGTTTGTTAATAACCATTTATAATAGTGTTGGATTCAGTGGGTTCCTCTTGCTTGTTTCTAGAGTGTGTCGACCTGAATAGTTCATTAAATCCAAAACTTTATTATATGTATACTGCCTAAATACCCATAAAACAACACCCATTTATAATGTTTGTAAAGTAACTGAGGCTGTTCAGATTCAAAACTGGTCCTAACATTTAGTTTCCATCAAAGGTTTTCATTACAATAGAATGATACTATGCCACGTCAAGTTAAAATAATTTATATTAAGACCACAAC